CAAACACGTTAGAAAGTTACAAATGGACAGTGTCAGCACAGGCCATTTCCTCACCAGCAAAATCAGAGTAGGGTATGAGAGGCTCCAGTGGAGAAGCTGGACGCAGAGCAGTTAAGCAAGCTGCCCAGTGTCACAGTTTTCTTCTGCTTCCAGTTCACCATGAGCGGCTGATGGTGGCCCCTCGGCAAGATGTGGATATGGTGTCTAACTCTCTCAAGTGTCATCCTCTTCTGTCCCTAACTCCCACCTTCCCTGAATGAGCTGCAGCACCCTGCCACATCATGCTCCTCACACCTATAAGGCTCTGGTACCATGTCCCCCTCTTCCTGGCACACTTTTCCTCCCTCTTGCCTGGAGAGCTCCTCAACCTATAAGTCTTAGCTATAAAAGCATTAACTCTGTCTTAAACGCTCCTCAAAGAGTTCAGTTTTACAGTTCCATAACCTGGCTCAAATCTCTGCTTCGCCACTGACCAGATGGGTGACGTTGGTAAGTCCAGTAACGTCTGAGAACCTCAGCAAGGGGAGGAAATGAGAGGATGGTAGGGAGTGCTCAAAATGCTGTGCAGCAAATTTCAAGTGCTCACATTGAACAGATGAAGCAGCTGGCGGCCCTATCAGGCCAAGCCAGGCTGCCTTGCCACACCTCCACCACCCGAACTGTCACTGTGCTTAGGTTGGTTAAGATGCGTGTGTTAGTGGGCACATCTGTGTGCTACCTTTACATGTCTAGAGTCTACCCCATATCTCGGTTCCCAAACTTCATTAATTTAAAAGGTTTGAATCCTATTCTGGGTCCATCACAAGGCAAACACCCAATACCAACAGCCAGACAGCCATGGCTTCTGGGAAACTGCCTAAAAACACAGGCTGCTGTTACTTAAGGAAATTACTTAAGAAGATCCCAACCTGCGCAGTGTTAAGGACCTTTGCCCAGGGCTTCCGCAGGCTGTTTCCCTGATTCAGCTCTGAGCTTGGCACCTCCCTAAACACATCCAACCACATATACAACACCCTTCATGGTTTTGGGGACTGGAAAGCCTAGAATATGAGCAAAAGGGATTCTGATGGGCTGGTTTAGGAGAATATCATGATCTTCTTTAAGGAGGCCACTATAGCCAAAGTTAATGAGACCTTTGGTTTGCAAAAATTATTGTCTAGATCAGGGTTTCTCAATTGTGGCACCAGCGACATTTGTGGCTGGGTGATTCTTTGTTGTGGGAGGCTACCCTGCAGGACATTTAACACATTCTGGGCCCCTGCTCAATAGATGCCAGCAGGTCGTGAGAACCAAAACTGTCTCCAGCCACTGCCACATGTCCAAGATGAGGATCCTTCCAGAGAAGGGCAACTCCAACCTTTGATTTATTACCACATACATCAATGAGGAACAGTTTTAGTCACCTACTAAAGGTACCTTGAAACACTGTCTTCCAGTCCTCAAGGATTTTTTTCTGAAGTTCAGTCCTGAAGACAGTTGTGCTCAATCCTGGATCCACATTAGGGTCCCTCAGGGAATTTTACAAAAAATTGATTCTGAGACCCCACCCCTGAAGACTAAGATTCAGCTGGCCTAGACATGTTCTTTGTTTTGAAAGTCCCCTGGATGGAATATGCAGCCAGGGGGAAGCATTGCTCAAAGCCATTTCATGGGATCCCATCCTTTCCCTCATCATCTGAATCTGGCAGCATGAAAGCCAGGGAGCCAGACAGCCAAAATGAGACTAAAGGGAATTTATTAACATGCTCTTTCTTGACAACGTAACATCCTCTGCATTCTCCAGTTCTTGGTCTACAGATGTCTTGTCAGGCAGATAAAACTTAACCCCACATTAAGAGCCTTGGCCATGGCCATATTGATTTAGACTTGTCCTATAGACTTTTCTACAATGATGGGAATGTTCTTTATCTGTCCTGTCTGATACAATAGTTGGTGGTCACGTGTGGCTAGTGAAATCCTGAATGTGGTTAGTATGCCTGAAAATAGAACTTAATTTGATGTTATATAACCACATGCAGCTAGTGGCCACCATCTTGGGTATTAGAGAAAGTGTTTATGTCCCTACAAAAACAAGTCTGTAAATATCTAAACTCATCAGTCTTTCAATCACCAAACAGAATCCCAACTTATTCCACTAAAGAACCAATTTAGGAGAAATGTTTAAGCAGTTTTTCCTATTTGCAGATCTAGTTTCCCAAACATATTCCAAACACTTAGCTCTGGGGAACACATTCCTGGCCCTTTTCTTTTGAATGCTCATCACTAACTTTAGTCACCAAAAAGGCTAAAAAAAGTGGTTAAGGCTATGACACAGGGAAGTTAATTTCCACAGCTTGCTAGTCTACTAAAATAAAGCACTCACCCACCCTTGCTTTCCTTCCCTTCAAATCCTGGGATCACTTTGATTCTCACCTCTTGCCTTAAAATAGGTTTGAACCGACACACACTGCAAACCAAGGTCACCTCTATGAACAAGTCATTTTTTTTTTCAGAACAGTTTTTTTTTCTCATAACATGAACTTTCATAATTACTTACAATAACACAAACTGCATTCACACATTCACTCTACATGTGTGAATCTTCACAGAATTCAAAGCTCATACATTTTTAAAGCTAAAAAAGAGAAAGGCATATGGATGGTTTAGAGTTGAAGAAAGCCACATAGGTCTTCCTTTTCTTTTCACAGGTCTTTCTGAGCACCTGTGCTTACCAAATCTGGCCCAAACTCCTTTGGCTCACCTCTAAGCAGTCAGTGTGAACCCAGAGCTATGCTCTAATATTTCTCCAGTAATTCACAGTGATGAGCAACTACTGCTTAGCCTCCTAACTAGCTGTTTATTGCGAGCTTGCACCATCAAGCCCCTTGGGCCCTGTGTCTCAGTTTATCTAACTCTCACCACTGCCTTCTGAAGAAAGAACTGTTACTATTTAATAGATGGCAAGACTCAGAGATAACTGCCCTGTAGTCACATAGCTTGTAAGTAGTAGAGGTCAATTTTTGACCCAAATCTCTGATTTTCTGGTGAGAAATCTTTGGATTTGAACACTCTCACTATAATGTATGGCATCAGGCTGGGCCATTCTCCCTGTGATTGGCTGCAGTTCAATGAAAGAAGGTAAGATACAGAATACAAAAATTCTGAGAAACCAGCCCAACTGCCTAGGGGCCTTTCTGTCCTGGGGAGTCACCAGGCATGTGGCAGGAGGAGTCTGATCATGCCAGTACCATTGCTCCCCAAAGGCAAGGCAGACACGTACGTGCAACCGAACTTTCCAAATGCAACTGCAGTAGTAGGAGGTAGTAAGCAGAGAGGGGAGAAAGGAACAGCTTTCAGCTGGAGACAGGGAAGACATCGGTATGTTCCTGGAAGGAACAGCTGAGTTGGGCCCTGAGGGGTAGGTAAGATTTAGATTTGAGAGATTATAGCAAAGGCAGTTGGGAAGGAGGCTGGGTTAGGATGCAGAGGAGGATGGGGGTCCCTCCCTAGCCTCTGGGGAAGGGTCTTGACTGATGGGATGGGCTAGGAGGGGTGTTGGCAAAGACAGCCTAGGGATCAATACCTATTAAGAATTCTAAAACCATCCCATTTTGCATGCCAGGCTTGGAACTTTCTAGCTCTTTATCCTCACACAATCTTCTCTGCTCTCTGGGCATCAGTCTCCTTGAGGAGGACACAAAGGACCCCCAAGCTGATCTGAGAACCTAATTTTAGAAGTGTTCATTGGAGCTAGGAGCATGAGTTATTAATTTCTCATATTTTAACTTTCTATAGTATAAAAATGTGAATAAGAATGTATAGGTTACAACTGTGTAAAAATAAGTCTACTGGTTTGGAACAGGGGCTTTGAGGTCACTCACTGTGCCCTGGGAAGGGACCACCTCTGGACATTTGTCCTTTGAAAAATGGGCACAGCAGAGGGATCTACTATATGAACCTACTGTGAAGAGTAAGGCAGCCAATCTCTTTAACATGCTCAGACAGAGCCTGACAATCAGTATTTGCTTATTCTGCATCACCTATTATAAACAATGAACTATTTTTATCTCAGTCATTAGGGATTGCTAAGTAGGTAAGGGTAGAGCAAAGGTTGCCCTTCAGTCCCTGCTGGGATTTCTTAACCATCCACCTTATGGGGCATAAAAAACATTCCTGGATGCACAACTTCTAGACCCTCTGGCATCCTTGTCCTTCCTCCCTACCTCACATGCCAAGTGGCCTCCTCCACTGGTCTGCACGCTTCGGGGTGCAAATTCTACACCACGCGTGCTTTGCCCTGCAGCGGGCATTACACAATCCGCAATTCCCAGACTACCAGGACCCGCGTAGGCGTGGGTGGGGGACATGACCCGGGCAGGCGGGCACCTGGCTGCCAAGGAGGTTGGACCAGCATCCTGATTTTCCGGTTGAGAGGAGGAGACGTACGAAGGAGAATACTAGGGCAGGCTGGGAAAGGGAAGCCGAAAGGCTGCTGGGGGTAGGCACTGGCAGGGAGAGGTCTTGAGGGGTGCATAGGTCTGGATCGGGACTGGGAAAGATAACACTGGAACCAAGGGCTGCGAGCTGCAGGCTTTTCCGGGGAAATGGACGGAGCGGGGATGCGTGAGCCTTCAAACCATCCCGGCGTTGGGTGGGGAGTGCTTAGGGCGAGGGGCCGGGAGGCTGAGTTGTAAGAGGGTGCAGGTCCCCGAACCGTCCTCACCTTGTCCCTCGGCTTAGGGGGTCCGGCAGCCTAGCCACGGGAAGTGGAGGGATGGGGATTCGGGAATGTCAAACCTATCCAGGAACCGAAGGGAAAGCACGAGGGCTGATGCTCGAGACTGAACAGAGCAGAAAGGCAGGCAGAGGTCCCTGACCCATCTTCACCCGGTGCCCGCTCGTGGGGAGGCCAGGCAACCGGACTCGGGAAGTGGAGGGTGGGTAGCGGGGCCAAGAGGGAGCCCCCGACAACTCCCTCCTAGGTGGGCAACCTCCCCCCGGCCGGCCCCGCCCTCGCTCACCTGACCCGACCAAGGCTCTCGGGGTCGAGAAGCGCGGTCCCGACGCCAGCCCGCGGCCCCCAGCCCCCAACTCGGTCCGGCCGCAGCGCGGAGCCCGAGCGCCTCTCTGCTCCGGGCGCGGGTTCTGCTGTATGCCTTAAAGGCGCGGCGTGTTGGCCAGCGTCCTCCGACAGAAAAGTTGGCTCCGCCCGGGCCCCTCCTCCTCCCCAGCTCAGCTCCCCTTCCTTCGCTTTTGGTATTGGGGACATTGGGAGAAGCCCCCAGCTCTTCCGCATCCCTGTCCCATAGTGTTAAACCTGAGGGCGAAGGTCATATCCCGCAAACCCGACCCCAGCAACCTGTCTCCAAGCATCGTGAGGCCAAGGCAGGAGCCCCAGCGCCTACAGTGTCCTGGGCGCAGAGCCAGGAGCGGAGGCGGAACCCAAGCATCGCGTCCTAAAAAGCTCGCTTGGGTGGGGGACAGAGGGTGGGGGTGGGGGATACGGATTGGAATCCAAAGAGCCACAGTTCCACAATGCGACCCCAGAATTCGTTGCGCATTGTTTCATTTACTGAGCATCTACTAGGTGCCTGGCGCTGCGGGACACTGCACTGGCCCAAGAGACTCAGGCTGGATCTCACTCAAACGGGCTCAGGAACAGACAGAAATTCACAGGCAAGAAAAATCTACTCTACCATACAATGCTTTTCTTATTCAATCTTTTGAGGTAGGCATTAGTGTTGGCATCCTTTCTTGAAAAGAAGCTTTTGTCAGCGATTCAGCTGAAAAAAAAAAAAAAATCCCGATTTGGGAGTATGAAAGCAGGGTCCTCTGACTCCAAAGTTGGGGGAGGGGGAGGTTGGACAGAGGGCCACTGGCATCTTCAAAGACCTTCAGTCACCTCTGGTTAAATCCCCAAAAGGCCATTTCTTCCTTTTAAAAACAATCAGGGCCCTCCCTGGTGGCGCAGTGGGTTAAGGCACTGCACTGAGAGGCTAAAGCCACTTCCACATGAGTTCGATTCCCGCCTGCCCCGGAGGTGACCAAGGCGACCACATGGCGTGGCAGACCTCTCCTGACCCGCCCGCTGCTCCCCTCAGCAGTGTACTTCGTCGATCTGACTGTTCTGCTCCCCACTCTGTCTCTGGTGAAGCCTCTCACCGCCCCTGAGCCTCTGGCCTGTACCCCAGTTCTGTATGTACAAATAAATGAATCTTTAAAAAAAAAAAAAAAATCAAACCTCGGGCCTCCCTGGTATTGCAGGGGCTAAGGTCTTAGCACTATCAAGCTATGCTAGCCACTGATCCCTGTCCAGGGGGCTGGCCCACATGGCAAAGAAGACCTCTCCGGTCTGACCCACTGCTCCCCCAGCAGTATTTTTCAGTACATCTGCCACTTTGTCTCTGATGAATCCTCCCACACCCCTCCCCACCACCTCTGCCTACACCCGTTCTTGTATGCATAAATAAATATTTAAAACATAAAAGCTATCAAACCTCATTAGGAACAGAATATATGTGTGTGTGTATGGAAGAGAGCATAAAGGCTATTATCCACTGAAAGCAAATGGAGCTTCCTGATTAGTTTATCTGCTACAAAACTTATGGTTTGAATATCTGACTTCAATTTAGTACTCTGACTCATCTCAGTATTCAGACTGAGCTCTTATCTACTATGCCTTTGCATGGGCTGTTCCTTTCACCAAGAACTTTTCCCATGCATTTTCTGGCTACTCCTTCCTCTTCCAAACCTGGATTTAAATGTTACTTCCTCCAGGAAATCTTTAAGATTCTTATTTGATTGCTTTGGGACCACAATGCACTTTGAGCTTCTCCCACCAAAATGTTTGTTCATTCCTTTAACAGATATTTACTGAGCACCACTGTTTACCAAGCTCTGAGTGTGGGGGCAGGCAGCCCTGGCTGGGCTGAGGTTTTGGTGAGTTTGTCTTGTCTTTTCCTGACCTAGATGGGATCAATGCCCAGCAAGTCTCTCTCTCTATCCATTCTTTCAATCCTTCATTCAGCAACCATTTCCAGAACAGGGCTTGGGGTGAACAAGGATGTGCCCTCAGGACTTCAAGTCTATTAAGAAGTTTGGAAAACATTACAAAGTGTTACATCAGGTCTCCCCAACAGGATGGGGTCGGCTTTTCTCCATACAACAAGAGAAGGTCTCTTGTCACCTTAGTAAAGGATCTAGAACTCAATCAGGCTCTGGTGACAAGAGGCCTATAACCATTAAAGAATGCATATTATTTTGAGATGAAAGCAGTGAAGGGGAAGGGGCCCTTGAAGGGAAAGGGAATGCTTTTGTCTCAGCCTAAATTCTCCAACCTTTCATAATTGAAGAAGAGATTATCATTTGCTAAACTGTTGTCCTGTTGCCTATCAGAGAAGCAATTCAGTGTTTCTCTTTTAATGACCTGGAAGAATGTGGTTTGGAGGTGATTGTCGGTTCAGGTTCTCAGCTACTCTCCCAGCCAGGAATGGAACGGATCCTGGGCTGTGGTGGGAGCACTGAGTCCCAGCCACTAGACCACCAGGAGCTGGTGTCTCATGAAGCCACATCAGGAACCTCACAGATGCTCAGGCAGGCAAGCAAAAAGACACAAATTAGTTTAGAGAAAGAAAAAGTTTATTAAGGAGAAAAGGAACAGAAATAAAGTGGGACTCTCAGGCCAGTAGAACCAGGCCAGGGAGAAGAAAGGAAGATGACGTGGAGTCGTGCCTCAGGGAATATAGACCTTCTTTCCCTAATTATTCTAGAGCTCCACTAGTCTCTTTGTGATTGGCTAGGTCTCCGTGGTCCCTCACTCTGCCTAAATGTCTCTGTGGCCAGAACTACGTCTCTGTGTCCCAGCCCCTATCTTAGCATTTTTCTTTATCATCCTTGTTCCAGAATATCCTATTGCCACTAGTCCTGAGGGTTTTTGACCAATCCCTTTTGGAATTTGTTGCCCTTATCTCGGGAGCCTTCCTTAACTCTCCTGAAGTCCCTGTCTACACTGTCCCTGAAGCTGCCTAATTCGCCCTAACTGGCCCTAGGACTCAAAAGTTCTCAATTGAAGGTTTGTCAGTGAATGTTACAGGGCAGTGTGAGGGGCACCCCAGAATTCCCATACCTGCCTGCTCTAAATAGATTCTGTTGTAACTGGGTGGTCTCTAGGAAAAGTGGAAGTTCCAGGTTCCCTGCCCCACCCAGAAGTAGGGTGGAGCTGAGGAGGAAAAAAAGAGAGAAGGAATCTGAAGAAGAGAAGGGAGCATGATGGAGAGCCAGGAGACCTGAGGAAGCCACATGGAGCAGCAAGCATGTGATGTAGAAACCGTGCTTGTTTCCTGGTCTTGGTAAAGGCAGATGTGGGTGAGATACCTGTAGGGAGGTGACTATGGCAGTGTTTATATTGATTTTGATTTTGCTCTTTTCCTCCCAGACTTGTCTGGCCTTTTCTGACCCTTTTCTCTGGGTCCCGGCCAGAAGGTGCTTTAGCCTCATGGTGGGCTTTCAGGCCTTGTTTTGAACCAATCCCTTTTGGGTTAACTTTTGCCCACGAGGGTAACTTCAGGTGTTTGATTTAGAAATTCTTTGTGTTCCGTATTGTATAGTCACTGTATTAAAGTTCCTTTTCATTGAAGCTTTATATGTTTTGTTTTGATGCGGCAGATGGCAGAACAGATTTGGAGCAGGCAGGTTTTGAAGGTTCACTGGTGCCCCTGTCTCCCTGCCCTGTAACATTATAATATTGATTGCTTTTCCTTGCTACCCATCCGATGCTGTTTTGATTACTCATTCAGCTCAAAAAGAACCCAGAAGGGTCCCAGGTGATTTTCTGTGTGCCTTGACAAATTACTCAGTTAGGGATCACACACAAACTATAATGCAATCATGAGTAACAATAAGTACAGGCTATATTGGCGTATAGAAATACATGTAAGGAAAGAAGAAAAAACACAAGATGCCATGTGCTCACAGACCTCACCCCTGAGCCTAAGGGCACGTGCACAAGTTTTTCTCCAAACAGTGCACAGCAATTCTAAGCTGAACACTTAGCCCCTGCCCAATGTGTGATTCATCTGTCATTGTTCACCGCAGCCTTCCCTGATTATCCAGGAAAAATGAACTGTTCTATTATCCATACTCCTTTAGCACATGGTTACATAATTATTCATTTCAGAGACTTTTGACTGAGTTGTAAACTCCTTTTCCACCTGCATTTCTCCAGGGACCAGCATGAAAGGTGGCAGAGTAGCAAATGAATTAATTGACTAATTAATTAATTACAGCCTAGGATGCTTAGATATGATCTCAGAAACATATTCAGTGATCTCCAAGAAGTCATGCCAGAAGATTCTTATAAGAGGGAAGGTCCCTTATCAAATAGGAAAAAAGTTCATATGCACCTTGTACTCTGTGCTTACTGCATTATCATATTTAATCTTCCTAACAACATAATGAGGTGAGCATTCTTATTTACCCCAATTTACATATAAGGACATTGAAGTCCAGAGCACTTCCATAACCTACCCAAGGTAGTACAATAGCAAGTGAAACTGTTAGACTCCAAACAAGTTGTGTATGTGTAATTCTAATCTGTGTTCTAATCACTAAAATGTCTGCTGCTGCCATAATCAATAATGGAATTAAGTATGATAGTTATGGCAGTCTGGGCTAGGTTGGGCTTGGTTTCTTTCTGTGATATTCTAACTTGACCAAATGGAAGCTCTTTCTCCATGATGAAGTAAAATAGGAAATGGGTAGCTTCGCTTCCTTCTGCTGTTACTTAAAAGAGCTTGTATTGACACATCTATAAAATATTCACATTTTTAAGATATACAGCATCTTCTTTCTTAACAATTCAAGATATTGCTTAATCATTTATTTGTGAGTTAAAGGTTTTAGAACTTCTGTTATGCATAGGCTGCAAGCTAAGATACATGTTGTGTATTTTCCAGGGATAGCGTCTAAGTTGTACTTATATACACCTAGTTATCATTACATGCATCTTAAAAAAACAGAATATCAATGTAAGAGTTAAGTATAAAAATATATTGAGACAGCATTTTAACATATGTCAAAATATAGTGTATGATCTCAGAATGAGGAACTCAGAAATAAGGCAGTTCTGAAAATACCATTCTACTGTACTGG